TTCAAGTTACAAATCTACAGTGACCGAAAGAAAGAAAAACACATTTCATCGTTGTCGTATAGTGTATATTTTATTATTATTTATTATTCTTACAATTTGCATAAACCCGTCGAGTTGATGCAACAATAGTCATTGAATTAACAGGTGTCTTTTAGAACGTGGTACATTTAAGATATGTTGTTTGCATGATTTTTATATTGGATGAATTATCAAAATTATCAAAAATATTTTTTTAAATAAATTGTAGTGCTTCATTATACTTGGGTTCGGAAATTGAAATATAACTGGACAACATGGTGGTTTATATTTCTGTTATTTTGTAGGAAACGAATAGACAAATTTTAAATTTTAAATGAATACGTACTATGTATACAACGGTACTAAAATACGTCTTATCTTTCTCATCGGTGGGAGGTATGATGTTTTTTTCTTATAGATCCTTGAAGTACTTAATATTATTTAATTTTGAATTCAATGAAATAGTTAGAATCTTTTCGAATTGAAATGTTGCAAAAGACCGCCAGGGCGAAAATAAAGGTAAATATGAACCTGGGTCACGCACTAGGTGTTGAGTAACGGTTTGACACGGTGCACCGACGGTAGTTCTATTACTGGAAGAGAGCAGGTACCCGTATACCTACCCCTGCGACGTGTTGTACACTGCTATTTTATGATGTTAATGAATCAATGACATTTATGTTGATGATGATTTGCCATTCACTCCGAAGTTTGCTGACGTTCCATACGATAGCATGCGGATGATGGCTTGGTCTGTGTGGCGATCGGGGTTCACTGGCGCGCCCCGGCCATGGTGGTGGTCGTTCCCTTGGCGGCCCCCGGCCCACCGGCCACGATGGACGCGGAGCTGCTGAACTGCGACAGCTGAATCGAACCGCTGCCGGTCGCGGCGTTCCTAGTGGACGTGCTGTGCGTGCGCGCACTACTGGTGCGACAGCTGTGCATATTGGGGTGGCAGGACGATGAGAAGCTCGGGTATCGGTGAGTGTCGCGTAACCCGAACGTCCGGACGAAACGTTTGCGTGCGGACTCGGGCGCCCGCGCCAGCAACAGGTTCATCACGGACCGTTTCCAGCAGAATATGAAAAACACGAACACGCCGCGCAGCGAGTTCACCGCGTCGGTCGCGTACCAGTAGTACGGGGGCACCTGGACCGCCCACGAGATCACTTCGAACACGAAGGTGACACCCATCAGACAAAACAGCTTCAGGTACAGCGACAGCCTGCGAAAGACAACGAGAAAACGCGGTCAGAACAGATCGTCGTTAACGTTGGTGCACCGCACCGTGAACGTTCAAGTCTCTCCCTCCGTCCCACCTCTAACCCTTTTACACCTGTCCGCATACGATTCCACCCTAGCTGTGCGGTCCATGAATCAAACATGTGTACTTAGGGTGAATGTATGTTCCCACACGAAATGTAGCATTTAAAATCATTTTTGGGTGCATCTTCGTAAATTCCAACACAAAAAAAAATATACCGGTACATAACTTCCAACAGGAATAAAAATTATAACGAAAACAAATTTCATTCGAACTTAGGACTGACAACGTATTCGGCGTGATTAAAATGTGTTTGCTTTGTGTTTTGTAAAAAATCTAATCCAATTTTTAATCGAATCTTGTCTGAATTAAAATGTTTGTATTTTATAGTCATTCACATATTGTACGTGTTTAATATGATTATTGTGTGTATAATTTTATAATTATTATGATAATTATAATTGTATAAATTAAATTTCAAATGACTTATTTTGATGAAACCTCAAACTTTTAACATGATTATACTGTGTTATTTGTTCTAAGATGTATTCTCATATTTGGTTGTATAGGAGATGTTGTTTATTTTGTTTATTGTCAGAGGTCCATTGATAGCTGATGTTTTTATTTTAATATATGTATTATAGTATTTGTATAAAACAATGTTTGATAGAAATCAAAAAGCATTTGTAATAAGCAGTGCTTGACTTGACTAAATTAAAGAAGGGGGACTCTATTTACTTTAAAAAAAAGAACGTCCCCAAAACTGGCTGAGCATTATGATTATAGCGTAATAATAGTAGGGGACGCTAAAATTTCTGAAAATTAGTTGGGGTACTCCTTCCCTCTGCGTCCCCACTCAAGTCGAGCACTGGTAGTAAGAATTCCACAAGAACTAACCATAGTCCAAATATTATAGGGGAAATTCCTCTATGTTATTTGTCACTTAATAATCGCAAAGTTCGTTTATTTTATTATTATCAGGGTTTCCGGACATAAAGCATGTATTTTTTGGTTCGTGTAGGAATTTATGTAGCGGTATATTTTTTTTGTTTATGCAGTTACATATGCAATTAGGTGTGGATGCAAGGGGGACTATGGGTGCTGAAACTCCCCCGCTAGCTATTGGGTAGAACCATATCGGACGTAGGGTTCTTAAAATATTATAAAAATTAGGCGTAAGAAAGAATTAGTGCAAATCGACATGCGCAGCGATTTATGGCAGAAACTGACTTCACTAGACCCTCTTTTTTCATTTCTAGACCTGCACCTGTATGCAAATGTTTACCTACTATACTTCGTGTGGAAAATTACCATCTCTCTGTACTTATACTACATACGTCACCGCTGACGCCCATTATGGTAGCTCGTCCACTTTAAACGCTCCAACCCAGTAATTTCGTTTGAATATTAAACGTTAAATATCCGTTTGTTTTTAAAATATATTTTAACAATACAGTTTGAACCATAGGCCATTTATAGTTGTTTGATAATAATGCTGATAATGATTCGTAAAACATAACTGGTCGAAAATATATTCGAATGTATGCCCCTGCACTAAGGAGTTTAAGATTAACTACAAGCCTACAATAATGTAATTTGTTTGTATGTGTTACATGATGTTTAATTAATATCTGAGTAAGACTGTCAAATTTTAGGTACGGGTTGGGTAAAAAACAATAAATATCCCGGTTTGAGTGCTGGTGGCATTTTAGTAAACCGAGTCACCGTCTAGGTTCGATAGTAATTACACTGGTTTTTGGTAGGCACTTTAATTTAGTGGCGTCAGTTTAAAAACTGTCTAACGCTATAATTCATATTGATATAATACGCAGTTTGAAGCATAAGAAACCTTTTTCCCCCTCGGTGCAGCTGCTCGAAATCATTAAAAACCAGTCCCATAGAATATATTATTTTCAGCTGTCGGCAGCAATGGAATGTTGATCCTCTCCGGGGAGGCTTATTCTTTTCTTCTTTTTAATGCGTTTCAATTTCCAGAAATTTCTGTTATGTATATAACACTCCGAAAACGTTAAAAACCGGTCTACTCGTATGGGAAAATATCACGCACATATACGTACGTACGTCGCACGCACACACACGTAGATACATATACACACATCACTTACAAACAAACACGCACACACACACATATCCACATCCACATCTACACCCACACACAAAATAACGCGTCGATAAAACGATACGAAAAAACGAACAAAATTAAATCTTATTCTCAGTAAAATGGTTATACCTTTTTATATCATCACAAAATAATAACAAATAATATGGTAACAAAAATGGTACGATATAGCGAGAAAACTACCTTTTTTTGAACTATTTCACATAATATTATCAATAACCTATAATAATAGGTTTTTCGGTACAATCAAAAGAAATATCAACTTTTATTTTCTATTTATCAAAACTTTATTTATACTTTTTTATAGTTTCTGAAAAGTTATTGAGGACATTCAAAAAGAAATTGTTCGTAAATAATTTATAAAGTTTGGCCTATTTTCGGAATACTTAATTTACTAAATTCACTAGTATGACGTAAAAAAAAAATAATGGAAATGATTAGAAAACATAACGCGACAAAAACTGTCGTTGGGATAAAATATATAAATATAGCCGTATGAATACCGAGTATATAATGGTCAATAACCCCATGTATAAATCCAGAATCTTAATTAAAGTTTAGTTGATACAATCATGTATCATACACACATAATAGTTTATATCTAAACAAAACTACTTTTTTTGTCTAATATCTATGCTAGGCCGGTTGTGTACTTAATAGTTTCAAATATTTTTTTTCCATTATAGAGAAAGCGCTCTTGAAGATTTTTAAAAAAAAAAATAACCATGTTTTTTCAATACTAAAACTTGAAGAAATTAAACGATGAAAATTTCATATGTAATTTCGTATTAAATATTACTAAACCCCTATCAATAGGTCATATTCGTAATAATTATTAGCTCCTAAAAGCCATGATTTATCGTTGTAGATAACTATTTATGTCTGTCACATGTTTGTGGTTGTATAAAAGATTAAATAGTTTTTTAAGCAACGTATTTCATTACCAGATTCCCATAAAATTAATACGAATTATAAGTTGTAATTAAATAACGGAATTGCCAATTTTCTGACTTAATTAACGAAATTAATTATTGGCTTATCATTGAGTTATAAAAACTTAAAATTAAATATTATAAAAATAATTGAAAAATTGGTAAAATAATAAATAAATTTTTCTATTTCCTGTGTATATTTCTGTTCTGTTTTCTTTCTACTATAAATCCGACCGGCCTTATAGCATTGTATAAATCGAAATATTTTTATTAATGTTAAAATTCATATTACCTTATTTTATTTTGATTAGTTTGGCGATTCAATACTTTTGATGTGTCCCTGCGGATGAAAACGATTCTAAATGCAGTGAACAGGAACAATAAGAAATTTGTTAACAGAAGGATCCCGATTGGTAAATAAAAAAATACGCCTACTGACGGCTTGTCTGTAAAAAAAAAAAAAACAAAATAAAACAAAATAAGTTAGTAAGAAATGGCTGATTGATTTAAAATAATTGTTATATAAATTAAACACACATCATATCGTGGTGGGATCTGTATGAAACAGACCACAAAACATCTGACAGCGCTTTTGTAAATTTGTTTTGCCACAGTAAATATTCTTGATTCCTTTTTATTTTCCATAATGATTTTTGATTTAACTTTTAAAATACTGATATTAGAATAAAATGTAATTTAATAATTGAAAATTAAAAGAGCTGAGACTTGGGTGTATATAAACCGCGAGCTCGGAGTTAGTTACTTGGAATGGCGTAAAGATGCACTCACTACTTGCTTTGATGTACACGACTGAATGTAGTACCCCTACTCTTATAGGCTTTATATATGGCACGCCGAGCCAAGGGAGAACTCTTTATCCAGCAGTAGGAGTGATGAATTTATTTTTATATTTATAAAAGAAGTATCATTATTTATTCCGATAGGAATTTTAGCAAAAGTAATAATAATAATAAAAGGTTATCAATTCCTCGGCTCATTTTTAATATTCGTTATGTACGTTTAAAAATGATGTAGTACTATAAAACACAATGTTGTGTTGTATTATTAACATGAAAAAGTATGTAATGGTACTTTTTTAATTTTTTTTTTTTTTTTTATAAAATAAAAGAGCGTTTTTAAAATTAACACAACAGTATACTTAATTAAACATTCATTTCAATGTGATTTATTATCGCTTAACTATTACTCACTTGAAAACCAACAACCTTTACGACCAAAATTGGGTTTAATATCCAAGCAATCACCAAATATTTCGGTGAACTCAGCTAAAGCCGTTAGTACTGTGATTCCAATGCTACATCCCCACGCATATATCGAATAAATTATATATTTTTTCTTCTCGTTTTCGATTTTATTCGAGTACAGCAGTAATCGGAATCCACTACAATCAAATATTGGTTTAATTCAACAATATTGTTATCGTTATACGATTTTACTAACCTAAACGTCCACGCAATATCGGCGCACATAACGTTGAGCCAGAAAAATGCGGCGAGGAACGAGAACTGTATGAGAAAACCTGAAAATAAAAATGACGAAATGATTAATCGACAAACATATATGATGTTATTAATTCACGCTATATCATTGATTGATTATTAACAGTTTCTGTAATCTATGATCATATTAATTAAATTATTTTATTAAAAAAACAAAAACGAATTTGATAGGTACCTAAAAATGTAATTTTATTAAAGTAACCTAACTTTATACTTCATATTTCAATGAGCGTAGGTATAAAATAAATGTATTGAATACCCAATATATTTATTTACAATAGACTTTTCGTGTGACAATGTATACTGTAGGTATTGAAATTATACGACGATTGTTTACCTAAATCATCATGTGGTACCTAATTGTGTTTTAGATTGTGTATATTATATTGACGTGTAAGTAGCCATTGCCACGGTCTATTGTAATGCAATTACAGTACAATTAATGAAAGTCGATCAACACATACGTGTGCGCAAATATAAAAATTATTTCACCAATAGACGTGTATTATTTCGAGTACCATTCATTGAATAACAGGAAATGTGGGATGCATACGAATTGCGCGTCTCTAGACAAAAATAAAACGTTGCGGCCAGTAACGCAACAAAGATTTGTTTTCAGATGTGGCGAAGTGGGTATATTTGAAAAAAAATTAATTTAGGAAGGTTTTTATTATGAAAAACAGCATAAGAATAAGTTAACTTCATATTTAGTGGGATTTACAACCCTCAACCCCCCTAGTTGTACCACTGGTTAACCAGATTAAAGTGCGTTGTTTTTTCACGGCATGTTCAGCCACGCCGCCCGCAACAACAATTCTGATTCTATTTTAATATTTATTTGGTGATAGATAAACGATATAATCGTATATTTATTGTAAATAGTTGGGTCTTTGTTTTGCCGTTAAGTTTATCGACGCATTACTTGCAAGTATAGAACATGCATATTAACATCGGTAACATCGGTACTATGACAACGTTTGTTTTACAATGGAAAATCGTGAAATTACTAAAACGTTTAGTGAAAAAAAATAAACTATTACACATTACAAATGGGCGCGGAATTTTTTTTTTCCGAACATTTTCAAAATTATATTGTTCAGAGGTGAACGTATTCAAAAGAAAATAAATGTTAAAAACATTTATTGACATGTAGCTGTTCAATATTGTCACGTGTTATTTTTCTATACATCTGTAAGATAGTTAAATTATATATTCTTTTAAATAAATTATCAGCTTAATAAATCATTCAAAATAATACACATATTTTAAACCGCACTGTAATTTTTTTTTTTTTTAATGACCGTTTTTGGTAGATAAAATTGGAAAGAAAAATATTATATAATTTTCAATGATTATTTGGGACACAAGTCGAAACTATCGTGTTGTTAGAAAACCGTGCACACAATTCGAACCCGTTGTTGAGAACCCAAAAGTCGAACAAAATATAATTTTTGGACATAATTTGAATGCGCCTGGGATTTGGTATACCCTGTTATATCCTTATTATTGAATTTCATCCATAACCTAACTGTGCATATTAAACCGATGATTCGAAAGTGCGTACGTTGTATTTCATTTCCTTAGGCGTTTTTCTTTTCACCAATAATATTAATTAAAACAATGCGTATTGAATTTGAGTTTTCAACCATAATCTGTAATTATTTTCATGACCAACCAGTTGTTTTGCACTAATTTGTAAAGTTTTTAATGGCACACTAAAAAATATCAAATTTATATAATCGAACATTCTGATAACGTGTTAAGTGTATAATTACATTGTGATCAATACGTACATCGTGTCACATCATACGACAAAAATCATAAATCAGAAATGTTACTATCGAACTATCGATATTATCGGAGTTCAATAAAATTTATCGAATTGTACTGTTTTGACTTTTTTAGAATCTTAATGCTTTAGTTATTTACATTTTTTATTGCAATGAAATCATGTTTAACGATAAAATATGAATACATGAGTAATTATTTTAATACAATAGCTGTTTTAATAGCTGAAAATATTTAAGTCGAATATTATACAAATTATCATTTCATGCAAAGACTGACCTTATCACACTCCATTGATACTGTATAGATTATAATTTTATCATTTCGTTATAAGTAATAAACTCAAATAAAATATTATACCGATTTTTATTAATAAGTTGCAAGAAACAATTTTTTATTTTTTTTATTTGTTTTATTATACTTAATAAGTTTCGAATTCAAAAAAAAAAAAAAAAAGCACAAACAATGGTTAATATTCGCTTCTTAAGTGTATTTAGTTGACGAAACAGTAGTTCGGCTACTGTACTTATTAATGAGCATATCATTTCCCTAACATTTTCATAATAGGAATGGAATACGCGTGACCTTGAACATTCACTATTCTGTTCTATGGTACGTGATCTATTACGAAAAGAGTATTTGGTCAATGTGCACAAATGTATAAAATGTGTATAATTTATTCATAATACTACATTTTAGTTTGTCGTTAAAACAATACTCTTTAGCTGGTTGTACAGCAGTTATCTTTATTAATGAGCATACTATTTGCGTATACAACTACAATATTGACAAACAACGATGATAAATAATTGGATATTCTTAACCGTGCTATAATAAATATTATTCTTGTGTAATTTAGCTTGTGTAATAAATGTTAATTTATTGAATTTCACATTCTATTCGTCGTTTACCATTCGTTATTATTTCACCAGTATGCAAATTTAACCATTTTAAGACTTGTTTGTAAATACAAAATAGGTTTGGTTTTGTGACATTTAAATATTATAGTTTCTAGTATTTATAACGTGTGTGGGCCATTTAATTTTTTTCATGTAATATATTTTACAGTCTTAATGCTGAACAGTTGTTTTTAATAGTTAAAAATTAAAAACCTTTCGAATCAAGGATAAGTTATTACGAAACGAAAATATTCGATACCATCGAACTATTATGAATTAAAAAAAACTGTAGGCATGACGCCTTGGAAGTCTATATAAAATAAATTAGTTGTTGGTCGGCTTTACGTAACAATCTTGTAGATCTCACAAGTCACCAAAATCTGTTTCTATGTGAATAAACTCTTACGCTTCTATAGAAATGCTTACATTGTAGAACATGTTTAAAGGACGGTTATAAATAATATTAAAATAGACCCGTCTGATTGGTATAACGCTATTCGTTAAGAATTATGTAAGTCGTTTAATTCTATTGCATTTTAAAAACTATTATTAATATTTATTTTTTTCTTATGCACACATTCAGTATGAATTTCATGGTTATTATGTGATTCTCGACATTTTATCGCAATTTTGGTAAAACATAATACTGTAAGAACAAAAAAAAAAAAATGATAATAAATAATTTACGATTTCCTAAATCCCGATTAATAAATTATAAGAGACTAATAGACCTATGGCCAGTATTGTACATAGATAATCAACTAATTATCTACATATGCTAATAGATATTATTTAAATATTTATCTGATTAATAGATAAAATATAACTACATTTATTTAAATAAAAAAACAGATCATTGGAAAAAGTTACATTTGTAAAATGGTTATTTTTCTATGATTGAAAAAATTAAGTATTAATCATGATTTATTTAGTTTAAATTAAATAAATTTAAATGCATATCATACATACATCTATTTAATATGATATAAGTATAACATACATAATATAATTTTTTAGTGAAAATGTATTTTATTTTTTGTTTTTACAATATATGTTTTATTTGTTAATTTATTTTTAATACAAAATATCACATCTAAACTTACAAAGTAGTAACATGCATTTCGATTAAAAATTTAAATGTATGAAATTATAATCACATAATGAAACTGTTAATCATATTTTGAATAAAATGTTTTAATACATATAAATTCAAATACTTTTTTGATAACGTTAATGACGAAATAACGAACTTCGTCTACATCATTAACATTTTATTAACCTACATCTAATCTTGGTCGAGGCGATTATTTTATTAAGTCAATATTACAAATTTTTTATAATCAAATTATAAATATTATATACAATGAACGACGCAGCAGAAAACGTTAGAACATTGTATTTGATTTAAATATCATTTATAATTAGATGACTATTAATATTTTTTTTTTTATGCGTTCTAGATTCAAAGATGCGGTCGTACTTGTAGAATGTATCGCGTTAAACACTCTACTTTAAGGTAATGTGAAAACAAACCAACGTTTGATTGCTGATAAACGGACGAAAATATTCATTTGTGGTACTAGACCATTGAATTTTGTTAAAGATGTTCGATTTAGAAAATTGTTAAACCTCATACCCAAAATATTAGCCGAATAAAGATTTCAGTATTAAACGGAGTACTGGGTAAGGACCGAGTAAAAATGCAGTGCTAACCGGGTACCGAGTAAGGGTCAAATCTTAATTATGACATTGAGTATTCGATATTTATGCATACGGTTATTGAGTAATTGTCGGGTACCCGGAACATCTCTACATTTTTTAACAAACGGGTATGATAAAAAACGTCAATTTAATCTCGCGTAAAATGCATGGACAATTTTTTTTCCCCGTCTTTACGAAAAGGAACCGTGCGCAATGTTGCCGTGTGCTCGTGAGTAAGTTTTGTTGAATTTTTTTAATTTTTTTATCCCTCCGTCGCAAAAATGGACGGACACTGCGATAATATCATGCAATATCGATTCTAAACGTAGGTCGAAAAAGAAAAAAAAAAGGCTCCGATCGCCGTATAAGATTACCTGCGAAGATGCAGGCGCCCGTGTTGAACGCATGGCGGACCAGCGTGGTGGCGGCCAGCGTGGCGTACGACACGAACAGGCATACGGTGTGCGCGATCAGGTTGCCCGAGTGGACGGTGACGCGGAGCTCGGGCAGCACGGCGTATATGAGCAGCGTGGCGGCCAGGAACGCGGTGCCCACAACGAAGTACGTGCCGTACAGTATCTCCCGGAACTCGAGCGGCCCGTCGATGTCGGCCGCGGCGGTGTCGAGTCCGGTCGCTTTCGCGGCGGCACCGCCGTCCAACCGGCATGCCAGCAAGGCGTCCGTATACGTGGGCGGCGTGCCGGCGGCCACGGGCGTGTCCGGCACCACGTTCATCGCGTCCACGCAGTACTCGTCGCGCTCGATGGGCACCAGGCCCTCGTCCACCTGCACGCGGCCGTCCGGCAGCAACCCGTAGTCCAACGGGCCGCGGTCGCTGCGCGACTTGTTCAGCAAGTACCAGTTCCGGCCTCCGCAGTCCGGCGGCTTCATGCCGAAGAAGTAGAAGTCTTTACCTGTCGGACACGGGACGTAACGATTACAATGCGCGTTCGTTCCGCCGGCAATCGTAGGCGTGAAAGGGTTGACGTTGCCGGTAAGAATACGCCTTTCGGTTTCTGTTTATTTTTTTTTATATTTATTTTTTGTCTCCGAACATTGTAATGCGTTTAACTGACGGGCGTGCGTTCACGAACATTCGAGTGAATAGAACTTTAATTTTAAACCGAAATATTATTTAGAATCGGAGAACTTATTATTTCGTTATTATTATTTTACTCATCCGTAACATGTATAAAATTCATTAAGTAATAATAATAGTAATGTAAATAACAAGAGTACATTCGAAGCTTATAAATTATAAAAATCTATATCAGTATATTAATATTAGTATAGACCTGAAATGTTTATTCCATGATGAAACGATCGCATTCGTTCGTTACCTATAATTTAACATACGTATTTATATTTTGTGAACCCGATGCGTTTGGTTATGAAAAGTTTTCGGATGGGGTTGAACCGCACAGGTGTGCATCTAAACTGCGTATTTCGTATGTGACGCGTGTTACAAGAACTAATTCTTATCGAGATGCACTCACGTGTCAATTGCGTCCCGTTAGCGGCCTTCAGGTGTATGGCCGCGTTGGCGTTAGCCACGGACAGCGACCTCCTGCACCCGAGTACCTTGTTCTTCTGGTATTCGAGCATGTATCCCTTGGCGCAGCACTTCGGCACGCACGTGATCCGTGAGCACGGCCGGCATACCAACGCCACGTACGTGTACGTGAGAACCGCGGTGGCAGACAAGTTGGCGGCCGGGGCGGCGGTCGCGACGTTGTGGCGATGGTCGTCCTTCTTACGGCCGCCGGGAAACGTAATATTGTCCAGCAGGGACACGCGGTCGATGCAATACTCGGCGCTGGAGAACGTCAACCGTTGGTGGCTGCCGGTCGTCCGATTCTCCTGGCCGAAAATGATCAGCCGCCCGTCGTCCAGCACGGCCACGTCGTCGTCGATTATCGTCACCTCACGTTCCATCGCGTTGCACGGCATCCGACCGTCCGCGTCGAACGACACCAGATCCGGCTTGAACGCCATGGACAGGTTCGAAGCCCTCAGAAACTCCATTTCGTACGGTACCCACCTATAGCGGACGAGCACAGTACTATGATTTACGCGTAACGAGCAGGGACAACCGGTGGGTGCGATGTAAAGTTAGTAGCGCACATGGGATTTTTTTTTCAGGAGAGGTTTTGCCAATAATAATTTACTATAATAATTAATGTTGTACCTAATGTTACATTAATGTTAACCCTATGCAAACACATTGTTAAACGTTGTACAAAAACCATATATATTATTTATATTTTTACTTGGAAAATATGTACATGATATTCTTTGTTGTTTTTCTGTATACTTATAATTTTTTAATTTATTATGAACATTTAATATAAAGTCAACGAAAACTAAATGAAAATTGTAAAAATTGTTATATTAGAATAATGTATGCATTAATAGTATAATTTTATAAATATAATTCCAATCTTGTTTGTAAAATCGAGTGTAAAACTTAGTTAGGTAAGGTTAAAATTTAATGATGGAACACATTTCCGAACGGAAGGGGGGTTATGATCTTTTAACTCCCCCTGTGTAAAGTCATTTGTATCATTCGTCCATAGACGAAACGTCACTACGAGTGGTGGATTTAAGGAGCGAGCCAGATGGGCCTAATACGATTAGGTATATTTACGAGAGAATACAAATAATAATTCAATTATCTTGAAATATTATAGAACTTTATTTTATAAATTCTAAAAAAAAATAAAAATGTAATAATAAGAACGTAGAATATTGTGTCTAATATTACCGCATCTAGTGAGTTGATGAATTTTTTGTTTAAATACTTAACATTGATGGTACCTTTACGTATATATACATGTTTATTTATACTCGTGTATTGATCAAAATAATTTATGCATTTCAATATTTACCCATCCAAGTCAATAATTCTTTATTCTATTCAGGCTCCTCTTAATTTAGAATACGTAGGAAGAATCGCTAGCGCCTCTTGTAAACTTAGAAAAAACCGCTTTTTTACCAATTAAAAATTTGATGTGATGATATTTTTATAACCTTTAATTTTACTAATTATTTTTAAGTACAATCTATTATTTTTTTTATTTTTTTTGTGAAATTTCCTTGATGAATTTCTTTGTGCCCTTTTCATAATTTCATCATAAAATTCACACATAATGTATAAAATTAAATAAAATCTACATTTTTCAAAAAATATTACGGAATAATTTAATAAATAATAAAGGTTGAATAAAAATACGAATTTTACAAAATATTGTGCTCTCTGCAATTCGCACTCCTGCCATAGGCACAGTTTGTCAAACAGCAACACCACTGTAAGAAATAGACGAAGATACACAGATATTTGTTTTTCATGTAAATTAGTTAATTTATATCTTGTCCAGAACTAATACAGCTTATACACTTTTATGATCCTCAATTTCATTTGCGTTTTTTTCCTCCATTTTAAATTCCTTTTTATAGCACATCATGAAGTATTAATAATCCAATTGATCGAATAGCCAGAGAATGCAATTATTTGAAAACTTTTGATTGTGTAATTTTAATTCTTGTTTTTCATTCACTTGATGTGTATTATTGAATTTATCTTTTATATATTATTTTGTAAATTTAATTATATTATTACGTTATTTTATCTATACTACTAATGTACTTTTTTATGTCTTATTCTAAACATGTTTTTATGAATTTAATAATTGTGTCACTATACTTGAGCACACATGGGCGTTTACTCAATAAATAAATAATTTTAATTACAATTATTGACTCCATTGAATTTTTATTGTCAGAAAATTGGAAAGTATTTTAAAAAATAATTTAAAACCGGTTTTTTATCGGTGAATTGGAAGTCAGTGAATGAGCTATGACAGGTTGGTAATCAAAACAAATGTTCCAAGCAAACATTCATAAAAAATCAATATAACGGACTATGTATTTGGAAAAGTGAATTTAATAATACACTCGTATAATATGATAATCGATTTTGAATATTTTTAATATATTTTTTATTTTTTCATTTTAATTCCAAAACACGTAATAATAGTATTGCTAAAGTAACAGTTTCATAAGCACGGTCATATATATGCCTGTATAATATAGTATTAAAAGTTATATATAAGAAATAAAGTTATATAATATGGAATATAATAATATGGAACGTTATAATATACATATGAAAATAATTTCCATGTGTTAAATTTTTATTGATTTCATAAATTATTACGATTATTTCGAAATGAAAGAAAAACTATCAACGAAACTATCTTTTTTAACGACCTGTTGATTATCAATAGTTTAATGATGTAAATTAACTATATATTATCTATGTGAACTGTAGATCTAATTTATATAGGTATTTTATAGTATAATATTAATATTTTTAAACATGTGTTATTTTTTGATATTCACTTTTTTTTACAAAATTTATTTGAATAACACTATATATAATTTATCTTTGACTGTAGAATGTCAGTAAGACAAGTATGTTTTATCTCCTATTTATATCGACAAGTCAACCTCTACAGGATATAATAATACTTATTTAGAGTGTTTAAACATCGGATATATGGTATATATGTATATATGTATATCTATACATTCTATGAAGTATACCGCAGACAATAACCCAAAAATAGTGAAAATGTCACGTAGATAAATTATCCATGTTCCAAAGTAATGAAATATATATATATACTCGTATATAGACCTAAATCATATCGTACTGAAATTATTTTTCGAAGCATGTGTATTGTATTATTTTATTTTATTTCTTTTTTTTTCCTTTTTACAATAACTATTTGAATAGGGAGAATATGGGTCTGATGTTGACAATGAAGTTTTGGTAAGACCAATAAATAATAAGTTCTATCTCCTGTTAACTGAAACATCTGCTTATATAACATTTAAAATGTTCAAACATTCCGATGTAAGGTACGTTCTGTTAAGTGTCCCGTAGAGAATAATCCCAAAAATATTTAAAATGCTACGCAGATGTTATAATAAAACATCATTTATAACCTAGTGATGGTATATGCTTTCTTTTATTAAGACGATACAATATATACCATTCAATAGAGTGTTATAAATTCATGAAAACCGACCCCATAATTTCTGTCGGTTGTACTGGAAAAAAAAATTTAAAAGATTTAAATCCACAATATACACATTTAGCAGCCGAATTGAAAACTACATGTCTGTTTCCTTATTTGTATATAAAATGTAATTATTTTTATACCAACTACAACCCATTCGATATGGTTACGGGTTCAGTAATAAATCTACAGCAAAAAAAAAAAAAATGAATTCATGATTTCCGAAGTTCATTTTTATTTTTTAACAGCAAATATCTTTGGAATTGTAAAATAAGATTAAATCATTGCAAACGCATATTTTTTTTAATTAACGTATTCTTTGCTTAAAAATCAGAGTATTCTATATGTGTACAATTTTTTAATATAAGTTATGAAATTTAAGCGAAAAAAAAATGTTTATCGCATTACGACGGATTCATGACAAAAACTGCTATCTCGCGCGATTCAGAAATCAACTACGGACTGTATAGTCTCTAGATTAATATTGATATATGTATGGTTTATCGAGGATTTCATACAATTTATTGAATTTCGTTGGTACATTTCAGTGGCTATCACAAAATTTTAATTTGTTTAAAGTTGAAATTTTAATTTAAAATTCTGATGAAAGGTAATATAATTTTGTTCTACTGATATAATTATAGCAAAAATAAGAGAATCTCAATATAATTTTTGCGAAGGAGAAAACTCCGTCCGACCGGTAATATAGAGGAGAAAAAAAGTCATTTAGACGAAGAAGTATAGTGTCTTAGTCGGCCCATGCCCAGGGACGTGCTCAAATACCGTTTAGAGTGTAATAAAGATGGGAAAGTGGGTTTAAATATTTTTTAATTAATTACAGATAAAATTCGTACCACTCCCTCGACTCGCCCCCAATGTACGTGCGTATGCAATACTGACCAGGGCACGGTGGTACTGTTGGCCAAGGACAGCTTGATGTCGTCGACGAGGGTGCTAGATATTACTTCACCCGAGTCGGGGTCGGACTCGCTGTCTGACGACCAGCCGTACGACTCGCGATCGTTCTGGTCACCCGGCACGTATTCCGTGCACGAGCTCATGTCGATCTTCAGTATCGTGTCTCTGGGACAGCATTTCTTCACCTTGACGCCGCCGAAGCCGGACGCTGGGGGCCAGGACGCGCACGCCCCAACCAATAAGACCGTGTACGCGAACGTGAACATATTATTGTGACGGTGTCTCGGACCGGAAGTGAATCATTATGGCGAGTTGTCGCACTGTGCACAGATAGGTTACGACGGCTCGAAACAAGTTTTTCGGTTTACTTCCGGTTCGATTCCTGTGTCGACGCCGCTGCTAGTGCTTCAGTTGCTGCTGAACCCCTGAAAAACGACAAAAATTATTGTTTTATTTAACGACAAGATTATATGAACGTTGATTTCCCAGTGCATATTTACACGCGCATTCATATTTTATTCAATTGGTATCGACACGAGCGGTTATTTCTTTAATTTTTTTTTATGAAAGAAAATGTACATTCTTCGCGGTAAAAAATTTATTACAATAAGCAAATTTCATAATTACAAGATTGAAATAACTTATATCGTGTTGAGAAAAAGACCCGTCGGTAACGTCATAAACTCTCGTATCGACCAAGCATCGAAATACGTATAGCAGATATTATTATATTTACCAAAGTATATTAAAAAGTTAACATCTGATAAAATTTACCGTTAACAATTTTCTCATCGCTCTCTTGCGCCCATACAATAATAGTAATGATATGTTTACACATTATGGGGTTTAACATAAAAACTTTGATCTTAGTACGATCATAACAATTAAACTACCACATTTGCCTAGGTTTGGTCTGACATAACGATTTAGCATCCGTCATTGTAATACGCGTGTAACCGCGTTATTGTTTCTGTCTTACTAAATTCATACAAAACAGTAAATCAGTAGGACCACTTTCGTGTTATTATAGTTTTTATATTAGAGTTAACTGATCTATTATCAATCATAAAATGAAGTATATTATTTGTGTTTGTACGTCGTTTTTTTTTTATGACACTTCATTTCTAAGCGGGTTATGGGAATTTTTATTTGTAATATCTTATATACTCATAACTCATTTGTAAATATCGTACAAAATCAACCTATAAACAAGGACAGTATTTTTTCTTTGAAGTTTGATAATACGTCACTGACGCGTCAGTTCACCCTTATATTAATGCTAACAACACATAATTGGTTTTATTGAACGTAGACTTGCTATATTGATAACAATAATAATTATGGAATTAAACGTCCTATGGGTAGGTATAACTATATATAACTAAATAACTATATAACTCTATATAACTCCCAGAGGCCTAATGTCCTATCTTAATAATAGACGTGGACGAAACGTCCGTGGACCCGTATATTTGACGGGGGCGAAACGTCCTTTTACCGGAGAAAACACGTGCGGGTAGTTGGTATTTAATATATTGAACAGTTTTTAGTCGAGTTTACAATGCCGCTTTACACCACCCTACTACGGCCATGTTTCAAACACATGTTAAACCCATGATTGTATGTTTCACATAAAAAATATTATTTGTACCAACGCTTCTCAAACTTAGGGTCGCTTCCGTCAGAAATAACTTAACACTAATGCAGAAAAGCAACATTTTATTTACATTAAAAATAAAAAATTCATACATAACCATAATGATAAAAATAAAAAAGTGTATAATATAAATAAATCTAGGTCAAAATATCCAAGGACAAAATATCCACAGATAAAATATCCAAATTTATCCGTTTTTCCGAAAATTAGTACATTACACTATACATTCTAATACAATTAGCTCAAATATTAAATTATTTAATCATAAAAAACCTAAATTTTTTGAAAATATTAGCTTAAATATTAAATTATAAAAATTAGCTCATAAAATTAATTCAACCTATATACGCTTTAAAAGTATAATAAATTAAGTTAATCGTTATATCACAAAATACAGAGTGATTTTTTTATCGTAAACCAGTTAATATCTCGGGAAGTATTAGGAATTTTAAAATAATTTTTTTTTTAAACTTTCTAAGTTTTACTATTTTACACTGTGTTACAATTTTTATAATTTTAACTTCCTCCCTTATTTGATAAAACACTATCAACTTTCGATTTTCAAATGGCAATACCTATTTTCGATGGTGAAAATTTTTAAATAATAAATATAAATTTTAACGTTTACAGAATTTAATTTCAGTAATCCGTTTGCGACTTATTACCGTTTAAATATTCGTTTAATTTACTGCTATTGGGCAATTTATCAAACCCAACAGTAAAAACCAGAAGTCAAAACGGAATGATATCTCAATTTAACAATACCCATAACGGTCATAATCTATAATAACTGTGATATTATTGCTTCTAACAAGTCAATTAAATAATTTGATACTAATTTTTGGAAAAACGGATAAATTTGGATATTTTGTCCTTGGATATTTTGACCGATTATCAGTATAAGTACACTATAAAATTCATTTTATTCATCTAGCAATTCAAAAAATTTGTATTTTTGTGTCGTTAATGGTTAACAGTATAATATATTATGTAACTGGTAATGCAGATAAAAACTTAAATTTGTTTTTATTATAAGGAGGAAGGAGGTCGTAATGTGATTGAATTTATTTTTCACTATTTTGGGGGTTACAACATTACAAAGGTTGATAAACGCTGAGTTTTACAATACCTACTAATACGTCAGTATACATACTATACATATACGATAATAGGTAATAACTTAATATAATATACACCAGTAAATGTTTCTTGATTAATAACGTGATAATTTCACGGTACTTGTTTTATTTTTGTAAGTATAATTTAAATAAATTATTATATAAAAAGTAATTGTACTTTTCTTATTATATTTATCGGTTCCAACATTTACGCTCAATCACACATGCGCGCGCATACCAGCGACAAGCATATACTTAGACTGTTCATTGTGACCTGTGATCAATGCATAAGGTAACATTAATTTATGTTCTACTTATACAATTCTGCAGGTGTATTGATAAAGTAAATTGAATAGTATAATTTAATAATAAAAATTTCTACGAATGAGAATAATGAATATATTAAAAAAAATAATAATATATTAATATATTATGATAATATTTTAATTGTGTAATGTAATCCAATATTAAAAAAATTAAAATATATAGAAAATGCACGATAAATATTTTTACCAATTAAATATTTTTAATTTTTTATAATTTTAAATATATTTTTATTGCAATTTGGTTTTAATAATAATAAAAAAAGCATTAAGATTTTAATTTCATTATAGTTATGCATTTTCAATACAATTTATGTGTAGTATAAATTACCTTTGTAGAATAATGTTACACTTTCAATGGTCACTATACCAAATACATTCACTGAAAAAAAAATTGTCATCACTCGATCGACACAAAACGGTTTTCTTGGTAATTTATTACACTATTTTCGATACATTTTTTGCGATATATCATTATTTTCCATACACGTCATGTATTATGTACTAAATGCAAATTAAATAAATTTAAATAATTTGTATTTTTTTTATTTTTTTTACAACCATCATTGCATCTGGTTTGAATCAGTAGTATCAACTATCATTGCACTAGCAATAGTAGTAAATTGTAAACAAAAGCTTAAAAGTTTATGACACACGTATGTCAATGTTTCACTCATTTCCCTGGAGATTGAAGTAGTCGCTTGTAGCAATGTAGTCAATATCGTCGGTAAATATATTTTCAAAATAATAAAATATTGTAACATCAATTACAATAATTAGTAGATCACGCCGTACGTGTATAATATGAACAATGTGTTATTATATGTGTGTTTTATACGAAAACGTAATTTTTATCGAATCCTATTAACAGAAATGGTTCTACTGTTGATGTTATTGTTATTATAACTATCGTTATTATTATTATTATTATTATTACTGTACACTTGTTTAAAAATGTACTAATGTAAAATGTAAAAACACATATTGAACAGATATTACGTACCTAAACGGTTCTTCTTAAAACACGTGTAATCACACTATCATCATCGTGAAGAGGTATCGACGGTAGTGAAACGCGCCGTAGTAACATTGTGCGACACTGCGGGGTCAGAATTGTACATCGGCAAAACGACATGCAATCGCGTATAATACGTGGACTAGCCGACTAATTAGTTAATTTTTAATGCATGTTCAACTGACACACGTGACGCAGACTAACGTATGCGCATGTCATGAAACGAAAATTAGAATAATATGCGTTATTTTATCAGGATTCTCTAAAGCATCATAAATAAAGACCGGATATAATTGCATTAAAAATATCTCAAAATTGCACTTAAAAGATGCCAAAATTGCAATGAATCTGTATCAAAATTGCAGTATAAATATGTTAAAATTGCAATGAAATACACATAAAAATTACATAGAAAAATCATATCAAATATATAATCGTTAATTACTTACTTAAATAATATTATGGACATTAATATAATATTTACAAAACATATAATTTTTTTGAAATATAATTTATAATTATATACACCTCTAAAGTGTGTTCTTGAAAATTGTATCGTCTGTTACTTAAAATATGTTTACATAATGAAAAAGTACGTTCAACGTCGACACTTGTTATAGATGCATATTTAAAATAATTGAAAAAAATTTGGTATTATATCTAAAGAAACATTTTGATTTCCTGTCATAATCTCAGAGTAAGTTTGAATCGATATATTTTAATTTATCTTTAACAATTTTTCCATTAGGACCGCGAATATTTATAGAAATATTTTCGATTTCACTAAATATGTTTAAACTATTAAAGTAATTGACTATTTGATTCTTCATAACTTGTGAGTTTTGTGGATAACTCAGATAAATATAATTTTAAAAATCCTAAACTACATTAACTACTTATAAAAATTTACGTCGTAGAAAAATTTTTTTTTGTAAAATCACTTTGGAAATAATAATTTGTATATTTTATCACGTAAAGTATACCAAAATTGCAAAATCGTTGAAAATTGCATTATTAAATTAAATAGGAAAACTGTAATTAATCTGATTCATAAACAAATTTGATCAGATTTGATTTACCGAGTATCAATAAAAAGTTGCAATCTCAATTAAATCTGGTCTTTAATCATAACACACCAGACGGTACCATTAACCGAAACCAATTAATATCTATTACTGAGATCCATTATACAACCTGTATAAAAACCCAGCTGGTATAAATATCTAACAAAACAACAAAATTATATGGAAATTCAATTTAATTTGAATTTCGGAAACAATTCATTATATTATATAATACGTTCCATATTGATTAGTACAATGCATACAATGCATGGCTATAATTTATACACATTTTTTGGTATCATGTATATTTGTATACGGCAATTGTTAGTGCACACGTTTGTCATAATATAATTATTTGAGTAAGAAATAATTATAAAGTAAGACATTATTATAAATAAATGTGATAGTAAAAATAAAAGTACATTTCACTTAAGTATTTATAATATTTACTGTTTTTATAAATAAATATTGAAAATTAAAAGTTATAAGTACCACGAAGAAATTCAATTGAAAATACGGTTTGTATAATCCGTATATACTCATATTTATTATTTTTTAATACTCACTCTAATTTCAAAGGTTGTTTTTGATTAGAAAAATACTGCTATATTTTTTGAATTATTAATATTTTCTTTTCTTTTTTTAAGTTCTTGAATAATTCTGCAAACAAATAAACGTTTAAATGAATCAAGTGTAAATAAAAAATGTTCCTGTAATCCCCTTTCTTCGCAACTACATCACATACACTCCATTGACGTGTATGGTATATATCAAAATAAGAAATTATATATGAAAATGTTGTTTACGAACAATTAGTCGAATCCAAACAGTTATTGTATAACATACACGAATATTTTCCGTGGAAAATAAACGCATACCCCTTTATAGACCGGTACTAAGTGTAGGTTGTGAAAACTGAATTTTCTAATTGATTTATATCGCATGAGGAAACGCGCACCGTTAATAATCTATAACGAATAACCATACCATTAAAACAATATTGAATTACTGGACTTCTTTTTTTGCAATATATTTGCCATGGTTTAACGAAATACAATATGATAAATTTCATTAGGTAATATTAAATTTATAAAATCAGAGCACTTACGTGCTTCAGTAATCTTGTAGAATAATGCGTACACCGGTAATATAATAAATATAAATATCATACAATATTTTACGGGAAATAAGCATTGTCGAAAAAGACAAGTAATTTTAATCGTGTATCACTATAAATTATATATTAAACGATAGCAGAACAACTATTGCCCAAAATAACAAGCGACTACCATCAAAATACGCGATCCATTAACATTTTTTTCTATATTAACAGTCTTAATGCTATGCATTATTTATTATTAACTATATATATTTGTTACATCTTACGGTAAATAATGAATGTAAAATAATTAATTCTACAAAATATATATATAAATTGCTTGCACTAATTTTTGCTCCATGCATAAAATTATATTACGAAAATTCATTTTCAGAGAAAAGAGCTATTTTGTTTTTAAATTGTATTAGTTATTCGATGAAAATAATTTTAATGGAATCCTTTAAAAGTCGTTTTGACTTCATGGACAATAGGATATGAAATAATTTGTGAAATAAAAATTTAATAAATGTATTTAAGTTACAAGTCTATTGTATCACAACAATTTAGCAACAATTTGCATGTAAAAATAATGGTTTTTTAAATTTAATAAGTAATACTGAGTTTTTTTATTGTAATTAGTTTAGCAAAACCAACAACCATTATTGATGCACTGACAATTATTTATAACTTATCACAATGTACTTTAAATTATTTTTCAGAACTTTAAGTTAATAGTATTAAGCTCAACAACTGTATTAATAATAATAATTAAAATACATTAAATATTAATATTAAAACATTAAAAATATTAAAATAACAAAAAATTAAATAAGAGTCTCATGAATGAAGGAAATAATAAGAATAATATTAGGTTTTGAATTACAGTTTGGAACGTCAAAAATATTAAATGGAATATTGAGGGACTTAAGAGTTAAATAGCATATTGCGTTTATTAAATAAGAAGGGGCAATCAAAGAGAATATAAGATAGATCGCTGATGCTTTCTTTTAAATGGAGTGTACAGAAGAAGGAGTCATTAAGATTTACTTAGTTAATTAAACACAGTTATTAACTTTTATTATCAAAAATTATAACAATGTTCTAAGAACATATATTTGAAACTCAAACTATATTTTATTATTTCAAACTACATCGTCTATCGTAACACCAATTCGCATATTACTGTATACATGGTCTATGGGCTAATGTAATAATCTAAGTAAATCAGATTTTATGGACAGTTATATTATCATCGTAATTCACGGTAGTTTTGATTTAAAAATTTAATTTAAAAAACCAACTAGAATAACGATCCCACAGTAATGTAAAGGAGTATTTAATTTTTATTATCATATAAATTATCATTCGACTTGGTTTATTGCAATAATATACATGAACTAATTAATTTATCAGTCTCATTTTAGTATTCCGAAAATATACAACCATTTTCTAATAATTGAAAAGCCATTCGTTCTGATTTGTTCGGACACTCCAGATTTAATGTAATTTTATATTGTCTATTCACCTTCTTTTTATACGAGAAGTACGATTTCGTACAATTGTCGGTAGACCAAATCCGGACTGGCCTTATATATAAAACATACATATCACTTACAACGACGTGTAAAGTGTATAAAAGATAAATACTGATTAACTAATTTCAGTCATTGGCAATTCAAATAAAAAATAAAATAATAATTTATTATGTTTTGTAAAGTATGACTGGTTTAGTTTTTTTTTAGTTACGATATTAATGACTATGTATATAATCTCACAAGGAATTTTTAATTCAAAAACGGTTATACTTTACGAATATAATAATACTCCAGGCTAAACATTTATTTATTTATTTCTATACATAAAATTTAATCTAAAATGCTCAATAGCAATATGATATAGTTTATAATTATTGTAACAATAATTACATTAATGTTTATGTAATTTATAAAATAAAAGCATTAACTGATAATTATTAAATAAATTATGGGAGTTTATCATTTGCACTTAAAATTACCTTTTCAAATACCAATTTGACATTTTACAATATCCAAGGAAAACTTATTAGTTATAATTACATAATAAATTAATACACTAACCGATTTTTGTTTGAGTATTAATACTTAATATAATATAAATAAATTAAGAATTGTATTTCTTCACATTTAACAAGTTACTTTTTGATCGTCAATTATTCAAAATTAAGTTATATATTAAATATACTCTATTCGAAATATATGTGCTTGTCTGTTTTTCAATTATTGCTTTTAATAAGACAAAAATATTTGGATGAGGAGAATAAAATGTGGAATAAAATGAAGCGTGAAAAGCTTCACACGCATTAGTTAGAATTATTTTGAAAATAATATAAATAATATAATAATTAATTCATTTTTCTTGCAAATAAAAAAATTTAATAAACATAATTTTATTTATTAAAGCTGTTTATTTAAATTATTGGATAGTAATGTTAAAGATGTATGTAAAAAACAATTTTGTAACCTAAATTTTTATTTGTCTAGGGACCCACAAAATTTGTGGGTCATTTAATGTTTAATCCGGCACTGATTAGGCTGATAAATATCCGATAATACTGAAAACTATTTTCGTCTCTTACTGAAATGCATACTTGCTTGATCAAATGTGCTAATAATATATTGTTTAAAAGTATATAATAGCCAGTCAGTCACTTTAACCAGTAATAAATTGTATTAAAAATATTTTCATATTTGAAGATAGGCAAATTTAAATAGCACAATTAATACAGCCATTGCATCATTTGAAAATAAAATACTGTAACAATATTTTATAATAATATGTACCATATGATCTTAAACTATTTGAAAAAATAATAAATTACAGCTCTTTTGATACTCGCACGATCAACTCAAGTCAAACAATAAAGGTCTAACCTTACAATACTCCATTGATATCATAAGTAGTTCACATCTTGAAACGATCAGTCTAAGGTGCATCCGGCCATACCCCTATATACAAGTAACAAGGACACAATATTCTTTTCCCCGGCTCTTGATCTGAGGTCGTCTGTGCGTGCGCACGGACCATAAAGGAGTCTTCTGTGACGAGCATGGACGTGCTCGGAAGGGAGAGTTAGAGAGTTCAAAACCCCTCATGAATACTTGACAAATATATAATATGTATTAACTACTTACGTATAATTATAATTATTGTGTTTCCCAATTTTAGATTTTTTTTTTTTTATAAAAATTTATTTATTTATTAGGTATCAGTTTCTCCTTATTGGTCTGTATTATTTGATATTGGTGATAGTAACTATTATTATTCTAAGACCGTGGTAACTACCTACTAACTAGTACTTACAATCACGAATCACAAAATATAACTCTCAAGTTATCAATTTATCACATATCATATCACAGAATATTTTAATATAATATCGCATAATAAAATTACGAACTTTTTTACCACTTCATCCACAAGTGTCAATGCTATTGCAACTGCAATCGATACACGAATTGGTAATCAGGAAGATAATAATTTTAAGATTTTTGACCAACAACTGGTAGGTATATGCCATTTACGTTATTAAATTACATTATTCTTCAGCATGGAGCATAATTTGCTAAAAAAACCTCGCATACTTGACTTTGTTTTATGATTTTAATTTAGTAAATGTTCTATGCTACAATAATGATGCTTTGTTTACTTATAATTTTTACATTTTAATTCAGAATGCATATTGATTATAATATTATATTAAAAAAAAGTTGAACCCCCCATTCAAAATTCCTGAGCACGCCTCTAACGAAAAGTGACCGCTATGTACAAATATTTAACTTTTATAATTAATTTGTTTAATTTGAGTTTTCTGTACGAGCAGTGGCGTACATGTGGGGGGGGGGGTGCAACCAGAGCATTTGTCCCTCATTCCGAGAAGTTTTTTGATGCCATAATGCAAATTAAATGTTCAGCTTAAATAATGTAGATTATAAATATTTTTAATTTTCACTAATTATAATCGTGTTTGATATCAGTTATCAATGTAATATAAAATATTAATATTCGACCAAATTGGGATTAGGAGTAATGATCACATATAGTCAATATTTTATAATGTGGTTATATGCTTTAACATCATGTATGGTTATATTTTATTTTAATTTTTATTGCTTTGTACTTTTAAACTTAGATTAAAAACTTGGTTAAGGTCAAATATGGGCGAAGAACGCTTGGTTGGGATAGCTTTGCTTAATATCCATAGACACAGAACAGTTGAAGTTGACGAAGTTATTGATTTATTTGCCGGCATTAAAAAAAGAAATTTAGACTTTATTATATGATTCATTTTTTAAGTATTTAGTAATAATTTATAATAAAGTTTCAGATTATATTATAACCATAAAAAATCGTGCAATTAATTTAAGTCCTTCCCCCCAAAATGTTTCACAGGTACGCCACTGTGTACGAGTGTTGAAAAGTGTCTAACTGCAGTACATCAAATCCTGTGTTTATGTTACTTCATTTCAACTTCATTACACTCCTACCATAGTTGTAAGTATACAGCTCGTCGGCTGAATACCCG